TTTATCGCTGTTGGCTTGCTAATATTGCTTGCCTTGCCCAGCAGCGCTCGTGTTTGTGGGTGTGCGTCCGGATATATTCGTATGCACATCTTGAGAAGACTACCAGTTTGTGCGAGTGTATTGCCCACTAAGACAAAAGTTCCTATACATTAGGTTCCTCTTCAGTTGAAGGATACTCCGCCATTGGTTGTTACCGTTTTCTGATGCCTTAGCCGTTTAATTAATATCTCCATCGGAAGAGGAGGTGTCGGAGTCTGAATCCTCATAGGACAAACTGCAAGAGGAGCCAAGACACGGCAAATACGAAAAAAGATTCGGGTGAATACATTTCTCTCACTTTCCCAGCGATTTCTTCATAAAAGGAAAGCCATGCGTCAAGTCATTCATGCGTGTGCATGGCACGCAGCATTTGTGCCCTCGGCTACGCGGTTGCAAACGGTTCTGGCAACTAATCAAATTACCTCTGAGATAAAGAAGGCGTTCTCGAATTTAATTCGCATTTTACGGCTGTTATGGTGTTGCATCTGTTTTATTAGATGTTTTATAAGGAGTTTTTTTTCAAAAAAGCTTTCTTTTCCTGGGCCATTGGAGGTCACTGATACTTATTTTTATGCAAAGTACGAATTCAATGAAGAAGCGAATGATGTGCCCTATTGGATACATATTGATTGTTATGTGTGCAGATAACAAACTACTTGCGAAGTATTTGGTTATTTTTCATCGATGGATTGTAAATTATATTCTGTATCTGTGTTGTAAACATCACCGTATCTGCTCGTTTTTTCTTTTGCGTTTTCGATATCCCTTCTGGTTGAGTGGAAGTGGCCAACGACTGCTTACTCTCACCCTGTCTTTGCAAATTACACGTGGGGCGGGACCCCTTAAGGAGGTGATAAGTGACCTGCGTTCCGGAAAATGAAACGTTATTAGGAAATTTTGGCAGGTTTTAATAATGATTTCGACCCAATTTTGGAAACTCGATGATTTACTCTATTAGAATTGGTGTATTCTATAAACTAGGAAATTTGGGGCGGATAAACTGAATTAAGTGTTATTGAACTCAGAATATCGTAGCTCAGTTGGCTAGAGTTTCGGCTGTACGTAAGCCTATTCGTAATGGTTCGAATCCCACGGAGGTCGCAGAGTTTCCCACGATTAGGTCAGGTCCTAAGCAAGCATTTTGAGCTTCTGAACGAAGTCTTAAACAAATTATTGATCTTAGTTCAGCCTAGGGTAATAGCCTTTTATAGGCCGGTTAATTCTTATTTTAGACACCCTTTCGACTTTTGTTGAAATAGGCTTAAAAATGTGTATTAGAACTTAAATATTAAGGTCTGCTACTCATGCTTCACTGGAAAGCCGATGTTGCCAGTAGTAGTCGACCTTATTATAAAGAACCTGCTGTTACTTCGTTAAGGATTTCCAAGGGTATCTTGACTTCACATGGATACTTTTGAAGAACCTACATATGAATATGGTAATTTTTATCAGGAAGATGGCTCAGTAATATTTTTCCACCAGTAGCAGATTCCACTTTGAAAGAAAGAGGTAAACACACGTGGAAAATAGTGTGAGGTTAGTCCTGTTCTACAGAAGCGTCTGCAATAAGGTGCATAGATAAATGCCCTTGCTTGATGGACAATTTTAATGTTATAGAAAATACTTGACTTTTCTCTTCGTGTTCTTCTGAAGAATGATCACTCTTATTATACGTAACTCACTCATATTTTGTGATATTTAAGTCATTAACAGATTACATTTTTGGTTACTTTGCCGATCTGTTGAAATGAATTTCAATGGTGCATATGGAAAATTTAGTTTAGCAGAGATAGTTGCCCTTAAAACGCTATGGTGTAAGCAGTCATCCTTTCACAGATCAGGGTTTAACAGCATGAATCTTTTTCAAAGCGTACATATGAAGAAGAACTTGCTAGCTTGACTCGTTGCTTGGCCCTAAGGGTCGCAAGTATACTTTACTGTAGATAAATATGGAGAATGTAGAAGTTCTGGTGACACGAATAAAGCAGACCGAGGGTTTCGACTCTTCTACTAGAGTCACTGAAGAAAGTTATAAGCTTCTTATGATGTCGACCTGTCTGCCGCGAACGGGGTGTGGATCTTCCATGCTCAGAGGAACTTCGCTCTTATCCGGGCGCGCGACAATGCCCAATGCATATTCTTCAGACCAGTATTCCGCACAACGGTATATGATCCCAAAACTCCTCATTTTTCCATCTTGACCTCTGACGTAATATTTATTACATATAATGCAGCCAATTGGAGCTTTTAGATTGGTCTTCCGTAATAATAATGACTTATTTTTAAAGTATCTTTCGAAAATACCTTATAAAGTCCAGGTTGTACTTCAGGTTTTACATGTCTATGTCTGCAAAACATGATTGCTGGTTTTATTTCTGAAAATTAGCGTGAACATTTTTAGATTTTTTGGCATATCGCTTTAGACAATGGAAAGTACGAAAGAGCTGACGGACGCCCGAGCTGCAGCAAATGAACC